TTAAATTTAGAAAAAATAATGCAGTTTTGACACACGATCTCAAGTAAAAAAAATCTCATGAAGATGATCGAAGCAGAGAAATTGAAATGGAGAAACTAGAGGAACTGAAGTTTATTGAAACTGACGAAGATATTTTATCTCAAGCTGATGAGGAAGACAAAGAAACTTAAGAAAGTGATTAATGTTAATTCTTAGGAATTAATTGAATCTCAAGCATCAAAGCAGAGATCTAGCGCTCATTGCTTAACGAAGCTAAAAGAAAAATGAAAATTCCAGCAACACAAATGATTTGAAAGTAAAAGGAAAACAGATTGTTGGTGAGAACGGAAAATAGATAAAAATAGAAATGAAAGGGAATTAATTGTTATTCCTTGAAAAATATAGGTATCAAATGCAGAATTATTCACAACTTTGGATGCAGAATCCAAAGAAATAATAGTGTTAAAACTCAGAGTAATTTAGCTCACCCTCCTAATAGGCAAGCTTCTGTCAATGGTTTCACAGAAATCAGACAAACAATCTAAAGCGTTCACCTCCTGGATGAGAAAACTGAAGTTATTGATATGGTAGTTGACTCACTTTATTCACCTTATTTACCTGGTGATTCACCTTTTATGGATAGTGTGTGTGATTATTCCTCTACAAGTTCCATCAGTTCCTTTCTTACCCAAAAAGTAAAGATGTGTTTGACAGTTTGTTAACAGCAGATCAAAGAACCTTCTTATAAAAGAACTCATGAAGGTGCTTCTAAAGCTGAGAAATTAAAAATACATTCACAGAATCTAAGCTCGCGTCAGAAAACTTAGCAAAAGAGGCCATAAACATGATAAAGGATACTCAAAGTTGCCATAATTCAATGAGAATGCCAAAGTAACAGATAAGAAACAAAAGGTTCATCTCGCAACAAGCAAAAACTATCTGAAAAAAAAAAAAAGAAAGAACCTGACAAAATTAAACGATTCTCAAGTTAAAAAGCTCTAGATGAATTTGCCAAGTTCTGGAGTTGAGATATACAAGTCAGGAGAAAGTTTGTAAAGAAACTAAACAGACAAGAGCGAGTTGTAAACTGCCGCAAAAGCCTCTACGTGCACCTGATTTCAATAAAGCGTTTATTTTGCAAACTGATGCTTCAAACTCTGGTATGGGTGTCATTTTAGCTCAAAAAGATGAACGAGACAATGAACATCCAGTATTATACCTCAGTAAGAAGTTTACAGAAACTGAAAAAAAGTACTCTACCACAGAAAAGGAACGCGCCGCCATAATATTTGCTGTAAAGAAACTTCAATGTTATTTAGATGGGCATACTAAATTCCTCATCATGACTGATCATAATCCCTTAGTTAGGCTCAAAAATAATGTGAGTCTAAATTCACGACTTATGAGATGGGCACTAGTACTACAATTTTACAATTACATGATCGTTCATCGAAGTGGTAAAAACCATAAAAATGTAGACGCATTAAGTCGTACTCCCTGGCCTGATTAAATAATTTGTTTCTCTATATAGATAAAAAAAAAAAAAAAAAAAAAAAAAAAAATATTTTGTTCCTTCCTCTCTTTCTCAGTGTATGTTATTATGTTATATCTTGTATTTCAATTCTGTATTGTGCTGATATTGTTGTTTTGAGGGGGGGGAGGGACCGTAAACTTTAATTTATAAAAAATATAAATCAAAGTTTATCTGGAGGGGGGAGAGGTTGTAATATCTTGTTATTTAATAAATAAATATAGTTATTGTTGAAGTGGCAACGCCATATTTGTATTAAACCGTTATTCAGCAACGTGAGATATTGTTTTAAAAAAAAGATGAGATTCTGAAGATTTTAACAGCTAGAAGTAGTATGAAAATTTTGCCACTTAAGAATTGTATAAAATTTGTCTATCACCGTGACTAGAAATGTTCTACTAAGAAGATTGTCTGCTTTGTAAATTACTGCAAAATATATTACAGTACATAAGGGCAGAATAAAATACTCTTTTCCTCCAAAAAAATTATAAAACTGCTTTAAAATGAATTCTGAAGATAAATTTTCGTGGCGTCTGTACGAACGTATGTACGTACGTACGTATCTCGCATAACTCAAAAACAAGTAGCCTCAGAACGTTGAAATTTTGTATATAGGACTGCTATAACATGTAGATGTGCATCTCATATTTTGGCTGCAATCGGCCACACCAAACGTATATATATCCACTCTGTTACCCGGCCCAGTGATCTCAGTTTCTTTACTCTTATATGTTTGTAAATTGTACATTTTTTGCTTTAAAAATGATTGACTTATGTTGTTCTGATCTTCCAGTTAAGGTTTTTATGCCTTTAGTAAATCTCTATGCAATATTTTTAGAATTATCAACAATTTTAAAGTTGTTTAAGTGCCGCTAAGCCTAATAATTTTCTTGATGGCGGCCATTGCTTGTTTACATTTGAAACAGCAGGATAGTGGATTTGTTGCCAATCTAGAGAAACTTAGCGTCGCAACAACAAAGATAACGCCTTCGCTTATTATTCCGAATTAAATCATGCTTAATCCTTTCTGCAATTTTTTCGAGGAAATGAATGTTTAAGATTTACTTCGTAATTTTTAATAGGGATATTTTGAGTTTTTATGTATTTTTGCTTTGTCGCGAAGTGATAACTGAATTAATTGAATGAGAAATAGTCAATCGTCTGTGAAAAACTTTTTTGTTTTTTGTTTTGTTTGCTTAATTTCTTTTATACGTCATTCTAGCTTTATTATAGTATTTGAATAGAACATGTGGCAACGATTAGATAATTCTTTAAATGATATAAATTTTGTGCAGTCTGAGTTGTAATATGAACGAAATATAATCTTGTTAAGTGAACTTAGCGTCCGAGTGTCGCTATGGTAAACAAATAGAGTGAATTTTAAAGAATACATTTATTCTATAGTGGTTTATGCGCTGTCGGCGAAGTAGATTTAATTCAATCCAATACGTTTAAATGAAATGCAAGAAAAAATGCGTATAATTTAGTATTCCGTACAAGGAAGTCGTGTGGTGTACACATCAGATTTTTTTGATAATAGAGTAAAATTGTATGTGGAATTTTTTTTTTTTTTTTTTGTTTTTTGAGTTTCTTTCATGTTATTTTTTAATTATTTCGCTTTGTAAGACATTGAAAAGTTTTGCATGATTTGCTTTCTTCAACGGAAAGTTGGTTAATTTTTTTATTAGGATAATTAATATTTGTATTAAGGGATATATAGCTTATTTTATTATAATTTTTTTTTCTCTTGAAAAGATAAGATAAAATATCATTAATTATACTTTGCTTTTCAGAATTTTTTGCTTTTTGTATTCTTTTATGTTATTTATTGCTCATTTCACTGTTTTTAAGATACTGAAAAGTTTTGAGTGATTTTTTAGGAAACAAAGTTCTTAACCTCCTTTATTTGAGTTCTTAAAATTTTGCAAAGGGAAGTTGGTTAATTTATTTATTAGGATAATTAATATTTGTATTAAGGGATATTGCTTATTTCATTGTAATTTTGTTATACGTAATAACTTTATTTTTATGAAGTTGTTCTGCAGAGTAAAATTGTACGCAGTTTTTAAATTTAACGTTTGGTGTTCCCTTCAGCCATTTTCCGGATACATTTAAACGCCAGACGAAGATTGGCAGCGAAGCTGCTAGTTAAAGATATAATGCTTATTTTGAGTCTCACGCTTCTTATGTCTTCTCACTACTACAAACTGCGATCTACTTTCGATGGAGATACGCTGTTTCCTAAAACATTCTTCAATTTCGTTAATTCGTAGGAGCGTACGTCCGTCGATCATTGTTTCTCCCCACACATCACCACACCAACATTACTGAAACATTTACGTTCTATGATGGAAGATTTCGAGTTCCTGACTTCTTCCAGATGTAAAAATATTTAGCAGCAGATGTTAAACTAAACCTCGACTCTTCAGTGAAGAGAATAAGGGACCACTAGTTTTTTCTTCAGGTCTGATGCTCTTCGCACCAATTAAAGTGATCCACCTTTTGTTTTGATGACAGTAAAATACATGCGGCATAAAGGCCATTTTTCATTAAGCCTTCTGGATACAGTTTGCCATGATGCAACAGTTCCAGTAGCGGTTGCAAGCTCTGAACTTAACTGTCAAGCAGTAGACTTCCTGTTATGAATGGTAGTTAATACCAAATATCGATCATGTGAAGCAATTGTTATTCGTTTGCAACCTTGTCTAGGCCTCCTAACAACAGTTCCGGAATTCTGAAATTGTTTCCATAGCGTAAAGACTGTCTATTCTGCAATATTCACTTATTTTATTTCTTCCATGATCGTCTGGCCTGCTTTTAAACAGCCAATTATTCGTCACTTCACAAGTTCTTCTAAATGACACTTCGAAGCCATTACAAACCGTTTTGAATCCCTACACACTGAAATCAAACGGTTTGCAGAAACTAACTCAGATATTCGGTTTGAGTAAACCGCTTGATTCACCACCAGCTGACCCAACGTCTTGATTGGCATATTAGAAAACCGTGTGATCACTTTAATTGGACAATACTATGGATTGCCTTTCGTAAATTTCCTGCAAAAATGGATTACATCGATTAGATATTTCATGGATACCATTATTTTGCATATCTAAAGATGAATTTGGATGTGAATGTAAAAAAATTTCAAAATATTATATTATTTATAAATTAAGTTTTACGAAAATAGTTTATGCATTTGTTCATGCATAATAAATGTTGAATAATCAAAAAAGAACGGAATTATGTCTTAATGTTGGAAGCATAATAATGCAAGATCAGGTCAATGTGTTGTAATGATTGTTGTTTATGATAATATGGTCTGGCGCAGGTTGGCATTCTGAGTTGATTGTGCAACATTGCTTTGGTATAACACTACTAAAATGTTGTCGACGCCTGTCTAAGAGATACGCATTTGCTAAAACTGATTTATTTCAACTAGGAATTTTACTCTTAATACTTGAATGATGAGTAAATTATTCTTTTGCAGGTATGATATGATGGAGAAGGTTCGAAATTGGGCTCGCATCAAAATTAATATTTTTTTTTGTTTCGTCACTATTGCTGTTTGCGTGGGTATGATTTATAGTGGCAAAAAAGCAGCTGAACGAGGCGAAACGCTGCAGAAAATGAACATAAAGTGGCACGAAGAGCAAAATATAAAGAAATAAGTTTCTAAATAAATGTCGAATTATTATATTCGAAATATGTATGTAGATATTATATATATATAAATATATAATATGTGTAATAAATATATAATAAATATGTATGTAGATTAAATAGTTTTAATAAATATTATGTATGGAAAAGTGTTTAATAAATGTATCTATTGCTTCTTGATATATTTTTATAAAGCTACTAAAAAGTCTTGTATTAAAATCGACAAAAAGTCTTGTATTTAAAAAAAAAAAAAAAAAAAAATGTATATTCTTAAAACTGAAAGAAAAAGTTTTATAGAAATCATCTTTTAAAAAAAACTTGAAAAATACTCCTGAATGTGTAAACTTTTCATGTATGCAGATGAGTAAACGCAAATAAACTGTCTATTTTTTTTTTATAGAATTTACTTATTACCTTTTTTTAAAAAAAATGTATGACTTGGTAAGTTAGTATATTTTCAAGGCAAATTAGAAAGATGATTCGTATCTACTGTAATCAGAAACACATTTGTTCGCTTTCCGTCTTATTTGTCCTTTCACCTAACTACAGTCAAAAGTCGTTAATTCGGACACCCATAATCCGGAATGATCTATAATTCGGACCTCAAAGCTAAAAAGTTTCTGCGCATGCGCCGCGTTGACACATGCGTATAGGCGTTTACGCGTGCGCGTAAGACCTTTTACGACTGTGCATATGCGTGTGCGCAAGTGCAGAAAACGTTTTCGCGTGCGCGTTTTATGTATAACGGACAGTATAAGCTAAAATTATCTAATTATCTATTTCAGTTAAAGTTGATGATTGCGTTGTTCCTTAATCTTCGAATTGGATCCGGCTTATTATTTTTTGCAGACTGTAAGAGCAATTTTATAAAAGTAAACTTGAACTTTCGATTATGTCAAATAGAATTTCCGATTCTGGAGCTCCCCAAAGGATCGTACAAAACGAAAGTATGTTTCGATGTCCATCAAACAAAAAGTGGAATTGCTGCAGAAAATGGATAAAGACATGAAGAATGTGACAGAGAGGTTAGTGAAAACAAAAAAATTTCGATTGACAAGTTAGTCGGTATTCTCGGCACAGCAATTAACGGGACTTGAACAGCGGAACTTTGTAACTGAACAAGAAATCATGTCTGTTTATAGAATTAAAGAGAAAGTATAATCACATAAAACGAAGCAACTTAAACAACTTACATTGAAAGAAATGTTTAATAAAGTAAACAAATAAGTATTAAACTTTTTTTTTTGTAAATTTTGATACCCTTTAGATTAGAATTGTTCTTTATTTCATAAATTACGGTTTCATATTTTTAATTTTAGAATTTCTGCATGCCATCTTACGAGATTTAAACTGATGATCGATAATCCGGAATCGCCGAAGTCCCGACGAGTCCGGATTAACGACTTTTGACTGTATAAGTTAGATATTCCATATATTTCAAAGCACACCAGCAGCCGGGTAGTAAATTTGCTGAACACTGGTAGTTCGGTCCGAGGTTTGAATCCCGCGAACGGCTGGCTGCATGTACGCTTTAGTGGTTTTGCATGCTAGACAGCTTTCCTTAGAAAGTCCTCCACGAAGGCATCCCTGTTCTTAGGCAAATAGCCATCGTGTGCTTTGTCGTAATCAAATAAGCCAAACCATATATTTTAAAGATCTTTTAAGTGTACTGTATCTGTGCGATTTTAGGATATATCCATAATTTCAGAACGACCAACGTGGGGGGGGGGACTTTTAAAAAAAATAAGTATGCAATGTTCCTCCCTTTTATCTGTTAACTAAATGTTGAGAAATTTATTGAACTACTAAGCGAATTTAATTACCCGTTTTTGTTCAAAATAAAGATTCACAGATGGCCCCGTTCTCAGGACTTACAATAAAGCCTCCTCCTTGGGCTTAAAGTCAGAAATGTAAGAAATAAGAACTAACTAATGACTAACTAAAGAGATTTAGCCGAAGTTAACACAAGGTCTGAACTAGTTGGCCCATAATATTAAATTAGCTAGCGAGGCTATCCAAAGGCACATAATACGGCCTAACGTAATATCAGTTAGAGAGACGTAGCCAAAAGGCAAACACGCGATAATTCAGGAATCCTAACTCTCTCTCTTGAAATCAGTACAACTTGACTTAAATACTGCTCTACTTCTCATTTGCATTTAACACAATTTTAAAAACTCATTTTGGTAAAGAATTGTAATCTGAAGCTAGAAGAAATAGGAAAGTCCTATAAACGTAAAATAACTGTTATAAAATTAGGATATACCTTACATCTTTCCCCACCAGAATTTAAGTACTCGAAGAAAAAGGTCCCACAACCACCTTGTTAAGAGTTTAAATTCTAGGAAACTTCCTAACAATTCAAAGTTTAACTTCTAATACTTCCGAATTCTGAAGTCTCATTATGGACATCGAAGTTTTAATTTTCTTTTAAGGCCAGCTTTACAAATGATCTACACCTAAGTTAAATAAAATTATTTTTACAGAATTTCTTGCTCAGCACATACATCTTGATCTTGACCTCACTGTGATACATACTTTGGTCTTTCCAAAACATCTGGAAGGAAAAAGCATTAGTACTTGATTCTAAGAAAAATTTCCAACTTCCCTTCCAAATACATTTTATTGCATTTATTTGACCCTCAAAGATTTCATTCAACACATTTTAACTCATTTTCTCCCCACGCTGTCCAGAAATTTGTTCTATTATGAGCGTGTCAGTATTGTGTTACCAAACCACAATCTACGAGTTATTAGAATTTGACAAACGAGACTTCAAGGACTTCCTATTTACAAAACTGCACCTAATGCGCTAGAGACAGCATGATTTAAACTTTAAGTGTGGACTAAGTGTTTAACACACATTCATTCTATACTTTCTCTCCAATCGTTCATTTAAACTTAAAAAAAAAACTAACTTTAAAGCACTTTTACAGTCAACATTTAAAATTTTACTTTCAACACAAACATTTTTCCACATTTAACATATAAAATTTTAACTTCATTTTACATCACAGGTTACACAGTTGCTATACATAGTTTACAATCTTATCCTAAAATTTAATTTTAAGTTCAAGTTTACAACAATTTTCATCGTAATTTCAAGTCTTTCCGACAAGAAGAATATTTTCTCGCAAACTTGCGAATTCAAAATTCTTGCTTTTAACAGCATTCTTCTAACTTGAGAAAAGCAACTTTGAATAACATGCTATAAATTGAGCTTGATTTCTAAATGAGCAAAGAAAATTTTCACTTATCTTTTTGCTTTTTGTAATCTTCCATTCTCCTCACGTGTTTTATCACCGGACATGGCTCTTTTCCATCTTATTTCGAAAGGCATGGCATCACCAATGCTGATGTCTGTGTCTGCGGCTAAGAAGGCAGACTTGACCATTACATGTACAGCTGTTCTCTTACCATCTCTTTGCATCTACGACCACCTCCACGACACACACCTAAACAGCATGGCGGCATGCAAACGTATCGTAACGAAGTTATTAAAGGAAGCCCACAATTTTTAACAAAGAACTATCCTTTTATTTCAAAATTTTAGCATTCACATCTTTAAGCGAGGATGTTTCAATCGCGAGATCTTTCACATTTCTCGTAGGTTATAATTTGGGTAGAGTATTAACGACGTTACACTTATATATCATATATGCCTCCCCCCTCGTCCCTTCGAAAGAACTTTTCTTGGGTTGAGACGAGGGAAAAGTTCACCACACAACTCTTCTGGTTCACACTCACAGGAAGTAAACATATCTGTCCTTTGGGTAACATCTTAAAAGCACACTTGTTCAGGAACTTAGTTGTATTCAATAAAAATAATAAGAAGAATAATGTCAGCAATGGATAGTTCACACATAAGTCAATCAGGCATTTCCCTTAAGAGGCAAGAACTTCAATAATATATACTGACCTTAAATTATTGAATAATCTTCAAAATCATATACACTGACGAACCAAAACATTATGACCATCCACACATTTTTCGATGAACCCGTCTGAATGACGTGAAGGCCACATGATTAAGTGGGAATGGTATTTAACTGCTGCTGGAGAAGGTAAGGAATAATTTTTGCGAGATGGGAAACGCTGCAAATCTAAGCGAATTTGATAGAGGGTAGATTGTAATGGCCCAAAGATCCGGAACGAGTATCAGCGAAACAGCCCGACTGGTATGTTGTATTACTTATTCAAAGTGGATAAAGGACGGTGAAACTAGCAGTAGACGCCAAGGTATTGGACATCCACGCAGCATCAAAGGAAAAGGACGTCGAAAACTGTGCCACTTGGTACAGCAAAATCGGGCCAGACAGTGGCGCAACTGACAGCCCAATACAATGCAGGTTCAAATGCAAGTGTCCCGGAATACAGTTCAGCGAACATTGCTGGATATGGAACTGCGCAGCAGACGTCCCACTCGTGTGCCTTTGTTGACCAAGTGTCATTGTCAACTACGCACACAGTGGGCCCGGGAATATCGAGATTGGACCAGGGATAAGTGGAAGACAGTTGCCTAATCGGATAAATTACGATTTCTCTTTCATCACGTCGATGGTGATATCAAGGTATGCCGTCTTCCAGGTAAACAGTTGGTACCCCTCTGTACAGTAGGTCTTACACGGTGGAGGTATTATGCTTTAAGGAACGTTCCATGAGCAGCTCTGAGACCCTTAGGCTCATATCACACGGCGTTTGTTTCACACGAACAACTGTTTCGGACAATTTTTCTGCCTGGTTTACTATTGAAAGAAAGACGCGCGACTTTTTCCTTCCTTTCCAAAAAAAATTGCAGGTTGTTTTCAACCAATCAGCTATCAGCTTGTTTGTAATGGGGAACCAGTTTCCCCTGCGTTAATCCCAAAGCGATCTGTGTTGATTGGCTGTTGTGACAAAGAAAAAAAATTGTTCGAAACAGTTGTTCTTCCGAAACAAACCGACGTGTGATAGCAGCCTTAGTCGTGGTAGAACAGACCATGAAAGCTGCGGACTATCTGAACATAACTCCGAATCAGTTGCACCCTTACATGGCGTCTGTCTTCCCAACTACAAAAAGAATCTTCCAGCAAGACAAAGCTCCATGTCCCAAGGCTCGAACTGTGCTGGAGTTGTTCGAGGAGCGTAAGGATAAATTCCAATTAATGTCCTGGCCACCTAACTCGCCGGATCTTAACCCGATATTTGGGGTCATGAAGTGACAGCTAAGAGCTCAAACAGCCCCATGCCGGAAAATCTGTACTTTGCGCAACAGTTGCTTAGATATTTGGTATAATCTGTCTGCAGTCATCTTCCAAGAACTTGTGGCATCCATGCCAAGGCGAGTCGCAGCTGTTTTGCAGGCCAAAGGTCGTGCAACGTGTTATTGAGTAGACGGTAATAATGTTTTGGCTCTTCAG